TGCAGGGGATGCTGGAATGGCTATACTTGGGTCACTCTCCTGCTAAGGTTCTTATATCATATCATGAGCTGGTAGCTAGGCTGACTACTAAGGGACATACTCTTAATCTCCTGTCACCACCAGTTAGGTTTCTAGGACAAGCTCACATGAGTCATGAGACTCCCCTTTCCCTAGCATAGCATGCTACAATCTTTAGCCAGCTCCCATATCCCAAATTCTCTATTGGAGGCAAATAGAAGCTTGGAATACTGGTAAAAGAACATTAGAAACTGTGTCCAATGTTTTTGGCTTCAGGAGTGGGGGTGGGGGGGCACAGCCTGAGGCTCTAGTCTCTCTTTCACTATGAGTATTGTATCAATAGTAGAGCAAATATTAACCCTACAATAAAACTATGCTCTGGTCTCAACAATATTAAATTGTTTTCATTTGGTTTAACCATGCCACAGAAGAAAAGCTCAAGAGTATTTGTAACAATACAAAAATACCTAGTACCCTACAAATTAAATTCATGATTAAATAAATTAAATAATTATTACCAGACTTGAGAAAAAAAAGCATACAAGTTATGGTAGCCCATAATAAAAAGAGAAAAATCAAATGGGAAGAGATTCAAAAATAACACAACTTGTAAACATAAAATAATTATTGATAAGTTAAAAATAATTCAATTTTTCCAAAAATAATTTCAAGAGGAAAAAGTTATGGGTGAAAATGATGTATATTTTTTGATAGTTCTTATGCTTTCCTCCAGTGTTATGTGTTTATTATTTCCTAAACATTAGGTGATGATTCCATTTTATTCACTGTTAGGAAAACATCAGGAATTGTAATTAAAGAAAAAAGTTTGTTAGTTTCTAGTGTCCAGTGAAAAATCTTTTTGTTTGCCTTTTTTAATGCCATTAACTATCTGATAATATTGTATTGTTAATATTCTGCAATTCCTCACTTTTAGGCAAACCTTCCAAATTGTGATTGTTTTCAAGTGTAGCTACTGTTTGTCTCTAGCATTGAATACCTGCCTGAGTAAGCGCTTGCCTCAAGTGTACTATGTGAAATGTCCCTCACATTGCTGTCCTTCTTCCTCACACCACAGTAATTTTTAATGACACCATTATCTAAACATAATGTTTACTAATTCATCTTGTTTATTTTCTGTTTTCCTAAAATTATAAAGCCCAACAGTGATTTTGTCTGCTTTGTTCACTGTTGTAATATTACTACCTTGAATAGTTCCCAGAGTAAATAATAGGTTCTCAGTAAATGCTCACTGCATAAATAAATACTTGTCTTCCAGAAATGGAAAACATAGTGATAGTATCTGGAGCATACAGAAGAAGGAAGGACTACAGACATTTTTACGTGGAATTGTACCTACAACATCCAAGCATTCCTGTTTTATTTCTCAGCATTTTCCTCACCTTCTCAATAGTTAGGAAGGGGTTACTATGGAACATTTTTTCAATCATTTTCTGAAGCTTCTGCTTTGTGTTGGAGACAACACTTCCCAAGGCCTTCTAAAGATGTCATTTTAGACAAGAAAAATCAAGTTATGTATTCAAAAGTGATTACCATATTCGTGCCGTTGCAAAGAACTCTTTCTAGTACAAAGAAAGATCATTTTCCTAAGGCAAGCTATTAAGTTTACCTACCCAATTATATCCATTCTAACAGTTTCTTTTTCAAGATTGGAGCACATACATTTTAAATATATAAGATGGGAAATATATATCAAGAGGCATACAAATATAAATTTTTTTCTACCTACAACTAAGAATGTCTTCTATGGGCACAGTCTGGTATATAAGCACTATGTGTACCAAGATGTTTATATAAAAAGTTCAAGGCAGTATTTTTATTACAAAAAAAAGACATGCACACAATTTCACTTTCCAAAGTGGTGGTATTTATTAAACAAATGAGATTGAAATGTAAATTTGCTCATTAAAAAATGATAATAAAAATATAATAGCTTGGATGAAAATGGTAGATTCCAAAAGATTTTTCAGGTTTCCTGTGTGCTTATTTTTGAGTGGTTATTATCTCTATGGGTTTTTTTTTCCTTTATTGTTTTTCATAATGTTCATGAATTTCTTTTTAAAGGTAAAGAAAGGGTTCATATGCCCATTTCCTTGCCTTAGACAATACAGAAAAAGACAAACATTTTATCAGTTGATTTATTCCATCCAGCACCATCAATGTGTCTGTTGTATTTTCTCATCCCTAGGCACTGTGTCCCTATTGTTGCCTGTGAGAAGTTGATTGCCAAAACTTATTATACTGATTCCTTAGTGATTTTTAAACCCAAGCTCCAAGGACCCTTTTATTTTTTACTCTATAGTCTTCTATTATAGTTGTAATGTATAAAATAACTAGTTATAATAAGCAGTGCCAAATAAGTACAGAAGATCAACTACCCCTGAGCACCCAATAGCCCATGATCTCCAACAATTTACACTAAGTATTCCTATATTTTAGCTGGCAAGAGAACATGAACATATCTTCTTCATTTAAAATGACAGAACCTCTCTCATGGAAAAAGCTCTGGTCAGTTAAAGGCTTTTTCTGGTTTAGTGTGTTTCCTTGAGAAAACTTCGCATTCATGTCTCCACTGGAATACACTGTTCAACCTGTGTCTCATTGTGAGCATCTACAAATAAACTGTTCACAGATGTCATGAAATAACCTACTGCTTAAAGGGTAAGGATGAACATGTTTGTTATTCTGGTTATTTCACTTGTATGTTTGCATGCATATATACTTTCAGGAAGAGAAATGTGGGGGGAAAGTAGCCATATATTTCTTTCTCTAAAAAAAGCTTTAGAGTTAAATAATCAATATGTTGAATGTTAGCTTTCATGGAACAGTACTAACATAATTTATGAAATTTTTCCTGGAATGATGACCTTAAAAATCATGACCAGACTGGTTGGAAAAGATTCAAAAGTAAAATTCCTCATAAATGCACATATATGTAAAATAAAAGTAGATTAACATACTGACTGAGTTTCTATTGCTCATTTCTGATCTCTTTCAAATCAAAAGGTTTTCTGGAAAGTAAATACTGAGAGAATTATGTCAATATGAATATTATGGAATTATTAATTTTTAAGTTTTTATTTGAACTGAGTACAGAAAAAGCAAGGTATTGATTGTTAAAGATGAAACATAGTCTTAAAACTTGAATCAATACTAAAGGAACTATTGGGTGATTGAGATTAACAGAGAGGATACAGAGTTTCTCAGTGTGAGCTATAAAATCACCTTCTGACAATTATACACTACTTAAGAGAGTGTTAGCTCCCCATGAAGTTTTATTTACCCTGATTCTAGACTAAGATCCATCTTCCATGGAGACTTCACTCAGAATATTGGACCCACAGTAGCAGAAGATGGTGCTCACTCAATTAGACAAAAAAAGAAAAAGAGATTGTTCAAAGGTCTGGCAGTGTATGCATTGAGGCCTTCTGAGGTTAGTAAGTTCAGGGGTACAATTGGATAGAAGGAATAACTTATAATGTTTATAGAACAGTAAGATAATAATGTTGACAATGATGAAATGAAATTTTGAAAATAGCTAGTAGAAAAGATTCGGAATGTTCTCAAAAAAAGAAACAATACATGTCTAAGGTGATAGATATGCCAATGAACCCTGAACTGGTCATTACATATTATGTACTATATTGAAATTTCACAAAAACTCCATAAATTTGCATAGTTACTATATGTCAATTAAAAATAAAAGTGTATTTTTTAGAAAAGTGCTTTTCTAAAAATACTCTAAAACCATAAGAAAATAATTTAATCTAAAGAGATACATTTAATGTTCCATAAAAGGTAAAGATATTTGAAGCTGTGAAATCATTATTTACAAGTTAGAAATGTGAATATTTATGAGTGTAATTGGTAATACTTAAAAAAATAACCCTTGTCTACCTGTTGGTCTTAACGCAGAATAGCAAAGTCCCTAGTCTTTGGTCTCAATATTTTACTAAAAATTTGGAATAAACATTTAGTGATCAATATACTAAAAGGAATAAAAGTAAAATACAAAATACTAAAAGGGATAAAGAATACAATAGAGAAAATTAGCCAGTTGTACCTTGGCAGTTTTTAATTTCTCATGGCCCTCATATTATACATAAATTAAACTATTGCATAGAGACACACATTTAGCTTTTGCCCTTAACTGGTTACACCAATTATACCAACGTAATTTCTAACACATTTTCTTTTCCTTGTCAGCAAGTTGAATATTATCGCTACCTTTGTTTCAATTACCAATAAAAACACTATCTTCATGAAATTAAAACATTCAGGTAAATGTGCACCAAAATCAGAGGGCAGAGACTAAGATGTGGGTCTCTGGAAACTCTGTCTGGCCACTTACCTAGCAAACAGTGAACACATACTTTGCTTCTCCATGCCCCAGGTTTCTCATTTTACAGTGAAGATAATAGACTTCCCTACTTTACATATATATAATTGATTGTATTGATTAGATACGTGATATATTTAGAACACTGCATGAAGCATGGCAAAAGGTTTGTGGATTTATTATGATTATACTCAATTAAGTCAAAGGAAGATACATGAAGGGATATATTTTTTAAAGTTAATGAAGTTAAAAGCCAGAAAGTGGACACATAATGTAAAATAGAGCAAAGAATGAGGAAATAAAGAGAATAGGAAAGGAAAGAATAATTTCATAGTGATGATATTCAGCACTTTGTCTTTACCTTCTTCATAACATATTGTATAAATATGTTCCAATCTAAATACCTAAATTAAATCACGAATATATATACCTATGTTCATGTACACATACATGTGTATATATATTTTCACTATAAAATCCTTTAGATTAATAAGTTTAATACATAGATATTGGATGGACTGAATATTTATGAGAATATTCCTCTTTAACTGATTTTGTTATTGAATAATACAATTCAGTATACTCTGACATTTTCATTTAGGTTTAGCAAAATCCAAAATCAATAATGAGAAACCGCACAGCAATTACAACATTCATCCTTCTGGGATTGACAGAAGATCCCCAGCTGCAGGTCTTGGTTTTTATTTTTCTATTTACCACCTATATGTTGAGTGTAACTGGTAATCTGACTATCATTACCTTGACCATAGTGGATCCCCATCTTAAAATTCCCATGTATTTTTTCCTCCAAAATTTCTCTTTCTTAGAAATTTCATTTACAACTGCCTGTGTTCCAAGATTCCTATACAGTATTTCAACTGGAGACAAAACAATTTCCTATAATGCATGTGCCATTCAACTCTTTTTTACATATCTCTTTGGGATAACTGAATTTTTTCTTTTGGCCACTATGTCATATGATCGCTATGTTGCCATCTGCAAACCTTTGCATTATATGACCATCATGAACAACAGAATATGCAAAACAATGATTACTTCTTGTTGGATAGCAGCATTTGTGATTATCCTCCCACCATTTGGCTCAAGTTTTGATCTGGAGTTCTGCGATTCTAATGTCATTGATCATTTTGTCTGTGATGCAAACCCTATCCTGAAAATATCATGCTCGGACACATGGTTAATTGAGCAGATGGCTATCGCCTGTGCTGTCTTAACTTTCATCATCACTCTTACATGTGTAGTTCTCCCCTATGTGTACATCATAAGGACCATTCTAAAATTCCCTTCTGCTCAACAAAGAAAAAAAGCCTTTTCTACCTGCTCTTCACACATGATTGTGGTTTCCATTACCTATGGCAGTTGCATCTTTATTTATATCAAGCCATCTGCAAAAGAAGAGGTAACCATCAATAAAGGTGTGTCTGTGCTTATTTCCTCCATATCACCCATGTTGAATCCTTTTATATATACCTTGAGGAATAAGCAAGTTAAGCAAGCAATTAATGACTTCCTAAAAAATATTGCACTTCTTTTAAAGAGGTAAGTATGCCTGAATTGCAAATCAAAAGATCTATATATACTTGATTTTAAAAAGAAATAACCAACTTGATAATATCCTAGCCTAGGAGCAGTCAGGTTGACCTTACAGCCTTTTAATCATTAGTATTCCATTAACTCATTTACCAAGCATTTGTTGAACAATATGATGAGAAAATGTATCACTTTTAATCCTTTAACCAGAACACATGATAAAATTACTGTTTCCTTCTTTCTAGATGATTTTTCCAGGTACAGTGGTAGGAAGTAATTCTTTTTTCCAAACTTCTATGAGAAGTTATTCTCAAGCATGACACAAATTCCTTCCCCCATTAAAAGAAAATGACAGATATAACTAACAAACTTTAAATAGCTATAACAACATGAGAAATTTTAAATAAAAATATTATAGAAGAAATATAAGTAAAAGTATAACTGTGGCACAATTAATCTTAAAGGGTTAATATCATAAATATACAGAAAGATTCTATGAATCAATAAAAACACAGTTTAGTATATATGCCAAGAAAAGATAATGTATTTACTTCACTAAGATAAATTACTTTTATCTCTCAGAAAATACTCATAATTTCATTATTAGTCATAGATTTTTAAATTAAAATCATAATATATTTTTATTCATCACATTTTCATAAACTATTTTTATGTATAATGATTGCAAATGTGCTAATAGCTAAGTAAAACAAACACTTTAACACAATTTTGAAAACATTGGAATAAATATTCATCAAAATTATATGTAACTCTTCATCTAGAGATCTGTACCTAGGAATTTATACCAAAATTCTAACTGCCAATAAGTCTATCCATGACCATCTTTTTATAATAACAAAAGGTTAGAAACAACCAAATTAAGATCACTTGGCAATATGTGAGTCAGTTAAGGAATTGGGCTGAAGGTAGGACAGTGGTAGAGCACTAGCCTTGCCATATTGGGAGAAGAGTGAGCAATGTGAAAGTCAGGAAGAATATTCATCTATTCTCTAAGCCTACTTTCCATTTATTTTTAGGAACTGGAGTAAAACACACACAAAAAAACAATTTTATTGACATGAATTTTTCAGGAAAATAGCCCCCCACTGCCAATTTCAGTGGTGAGCTCTGCCACCCAAACTAAATTTTGCATTCTGTTGCTCAGTCCACCATGTTAATTCAGGCCTGCAATCTAAATCACACCAGTCAGAGTTTATCAAGACTTTTTCTGTAAGTCTGATACATAGTAGGTTTCCATTCTGATATGATATGGAAAAGTAATGTCTGAAATTGCCATAGTTACTATTTGCTATGTTCCAAGCCAGCACATGGACAAAGTTAGAGCACAAATATGTAGGAGATAGAGATTGCCCTCATTCCATCATGGACCTCTGGCTCAAGCTGTGAGAGAAGTTAACTTCACCAGTTACATGAACTCAGTTAATAATTTATTTGGTAATGCATATACATATATTTATGTATTTTTTGACAAATTGAGGCTTTTGTCACTTGCAAAGAGTAGCAGCAAGAAATGACAAGTCTAAAAATTACAATTGTACAAAGGTAGGAAAGGAGAAATTTAGAAATTCTTGCTACCTGGTAATGAATGAATCTGTTAAACTGCTATCAGGCTTGTATTGAGAATTCAAGACTTGTACCTAGCAATGTTGCAGGATTAGGAAACATGGAAATTTTTCAGTGTGTCTGACTTTTTTTAAGTAGTTTTTTATACCTTCAAAATGGATCTTCTTATATTAGAGAAAATGAAGCCTTCAAACTGACTCACATAATAACTATATACAATTATTTCTCAGAATTCCTGTGATATGGTAATCTGCATCCTTATAAAAATGAAAAAGTCTATTTTGCATATTGCAAAATAAAATCAGTGAAAGAAAAGCCTGGAAGAATTCTAGTAAGAAATAATATGGGAGTCTATAATAGGTTTGATCACATGGAACCTGTACTCTAATAAATACTTTTCATTTAGTCCTTGCTACAACTGTTGAAAATTATCTCAATTTATGAAAGGGATAAAGATCCATCCTGAAAAAAAAAGAATTAAATTTCTTCCCTGTACCTGGTCATTGATTTGAGTTGTCTCCAGGTCATGATCAAATCTAAGACAGTTAAACTAATCAAAATATAGGGAAAAACATCTGAAAAGTGCCAGATATCAGAAACCAGAAGATTCTTGGTTTGATTTTTATTCTGCCTTGAAAATAGCTTCAGTTTTGCTTCTATAATAAATTGCCTCAAGTGATTAATGAATTGGGATACATTGTCGAGATAGCATGGGAGTCTTTTTGATTTATTAACAATTTTCCCAGCATATTAATATTTTATACTTTCAAGTAACAATGAAGAACATTGTCAGTGTAGAATGCAAGAAGCCCTAGAACAATAATATCATGAAACATTAAGCCAAGAGTATTCTGCCTCTTGGCTCACTTTGGCAATATGTTCCCCTTGGAAGTGCCCTTAACTCCAAAACTCAGAATCTCCAGTCCTATTGTACTGACCCTAACTTCCAACTACCTTTTAAGGTAAAGTCCTATATTTATTCTAGTATTTGGTAGTTTATTTGTTATGAAATTAACACAGTTTTACTGTGCTTGTATTTTTATTGATATTGCATTGCACTGTGGCAATAAGCAGGCTGAGGTAGGAGGATCACGAGTTTGAGGCCAGTCCAGCTTACATGGTGAGTTCCAGACCAGCTCCACCTACATAGTGAAACTCTGACTCAAAAAAAATCACCTTGTACAAACATTTTAAGCAACATCAGTTATTTTTTAGTATGTGGTTTTACCTAATACAAAGTTTTGGTAAATTGCATATATTGCACTTTTACAAAATACCCAACATTAAGGTTCCAAAATTCCAAAGAAATACCAAGTCTGCCTGACAGCTTATCATCACATAGCTCCTCAGAAAAATTGCAAGGCCCAAGCATTCCATCTCCATGCAAATGTGAACTGTAAGTTTATATTTATCCCGGAAGGAAGACCTCTAGTACCCATTTCAGTATGTTACTTTAGATTGACAGGATGGAGGTACTTCCAAAATCTCAAAATTATGAGTACCTGAATTGGCCACCAAAATGTTCATTCCAGTTCTGGGGCATTCATCTTTGCTATTCCTCTCCATTAGGTAATGACACAATTTATGGACTAGTGACTGTCATGCATTATTTTCCATTATTCCAAATGGGAAATCATGTCCATAGTCACTATCTCTCTCCACCATGTATGCTGGTCGCCTTGATGTGGATTAACTTCATTTAATTAATAGTTTTCAGGTCTGAGGAAAAATGTATCAACACTAATGGAAGAATTAAACATTATCAGATAACCTTGGATTTGAAGGAGGAAGCAATTTGAGTTTGCCTTTCAGTGTTATTGATGGCATTCTACATATCTCTGAGCATTTTCAAAACATATATTCTAAAATTTGTACTTTCAAGGGGTATATTATATGGCATATGAATGCATCTTATTTTTCAAATTATAATATACAAAGATTTCTTAAAGCATGTGAGGGAAGAGTTGCTTATGAAATAAGGCTATCAAAAAGTGTACATGTACATGCATTGTTCTTGTTTTTTATTTTCTCCTGATCCCTGACCAGTATCCTTTCTTCTTTCTCATGATAAACAATATAAGACGAAACAAAATGGACTAAGGAAAACTCAAGACTATCTCAGAGTTGGCTTCAAAGGTAAATAACGTGATCTAGGCATACTCACATAGCACAGTCTATATATCTACCAATAGTAGTGGCTTAAAACTGACTCAACTGGAACCCAAGTCAAAAAGGATGCTGAGTGTGGTGGTACGTGCCCTTGTCATCCAAGCTATGTGGGAGGTGTAAACTGGAGGATCACAGCCCAGGTCAGCCCAGGAAAAACTGTGAGAACCTATTAAAAAATAAAGCAGCACCCACATCATAAAACTAAAATCTCAATAAATAGTCTAATGATACATCTCAACTCCTAGAAAAACAAGAGCAAGACAACTCAAAAAGTAATCGATGAAAAGAGATTTTAAAAATCCAAGCAAAAATCAGTGAATTGAAGACCAAACAAACAATAAAAGAAAAAAAAACTGACTCAACTGGAAGCAGCAGATCTTAGTTTTCTAAAAATACAGACGAACTTACAATACTTTTTCTTCTAGACAGTGTAGATGTGTATGTATGTAGAACTGCTGTCATGTTATTGCCAGCATGGGGATAAAAAGTCACAATGATGGGGTAAAGCCTAGGAATTCTTATGGAAGAAACACCCCCAAAAAAATGACAGAATGAATTTTTGAACCGCTTGCCTTGCCACCAGACTTTGCCTTTATCAACAGGCTACTATTTCTAACCGTTTAGAAACAGTTTATCTCAGACTGGCAACCAAATTTTTCTAGCTGAATCAAAAGCCGTCTACCTGCATGCTTCTGCAGCAATTTGGCTTTACCAGGGCTACAACCAATAAGAACATAACAGATTATTTCAGTAACAGACAAAAAAATCATGCTTCTCTGTACCAATACCTTGTATTGCTCCCTCCCATACTGACCCTAGTCTTAGCCACTTGGCTAGCTTTGGCAAATAGAGAAATAGCAAAATGATACAAGCTAAGTGTTGGAAGCATATTCAGTCTTGTCCTTTTTGCTGCTCTTGGAACATAATTGTTATGTGAAGATTCTCAGACTAGCCTGCTGAAATACCCATATATGAGTATGGCTGCCCAAACAAGTCACCCTCAGTGGGCCAGCCAAATAATTAGTAGTACATGAGTGAACCCAGCCACCATCCCATGGAGTGGAAATTCTCCCTACCTGAGCCTGCCATATTGATAACTCACATGATATAAGAAAATAAATTCTTATCAGTTTATACTATTAAGTTTTCAGAATTTTGATCTACAGAAAAGCTAACAGATGTAGAAAACCTTCCCTAAATAAGCAAGCAGAAAAGGAATTTATTGAACCAACTGAATATCTAGACAAATTTGATGAATTA